ATTATTATACTTAACTAATTTTCTTAATTAAACTGTGTGAGTAATTATTTTCTTTAATATTAAAAAATAGAGGGAGTAATTTGTAGTTTTTTTTGTTCCTGGATTTGTTGACCAGAGATAGTTAACCCTTATTAACTATTATTGCTGTCAAAATGTAAAATAGAGAATTTTCTCTCCATCTACATTTTTATTGCTCACAAGTGACATCTATTAAAAATAAATCATGTTCAATATATATACAAACTCATCTGTAAATATGAGAACCCTTTCTAGTTGGATTTCGAATTTTGGCTCTCTACATTGTACAGGACGAGCTCCTCCATCAGATTAAGATTATTCAAAAACCAAATAGCTCAATCCAAATAGTGGAACACAGTCCAATTCAGTCTAAACCAAATTGTCCAATTCAAACAAAACCAATTAACCCATACTTTTATTTGAGTTTGATTGAATAAGAGAGAGACTGAGTATTAGAGATTGAGTTATTAGACAATTTGATCTAGTCTAGGTCCACAATTGTATTATCATATTCATAAGTAGTTCTTCCCTTTCTATTCTAATGTTCGTTATAGCAATCTTTGCCACTTGCTTCTTCAAAGAAGAATTACTCAAATCCATGTTCACGAAGTTGACTTTATATCTTTCTTCGCTTCATATCTCTATTGTAGCCATGATAAGCGCATACAAATGACTCGTTGGCTCTCCCTCCCATTATTATGCTTGCATGGGTTCCCATTCTCCTCTTTGTTCTGTCACAGATCCCATTTCTTCTCACTGCTACTTTTCTACTTATTGAAATGTATTTAACAGGAAAGTGGAGCCATGACCCTTATATATATAATGCTATTACTTTATGTATAATACCCTGTAAAAATATTGATTTCTCAATGTATTCATTGCCATCTTTTATTTTTAATAATAAATTGTAGTTTTTTGCTTTTATTTTGTGATTTATTTAATTATTATTTATTTTTTGGGGTTAATTTATTCTCATTTCTACGAGTTCAATGTGGTTGGTTTGCTTGAAAATAAGAGGTTAATGTGCATTTTTATTGCTGTGTGAATTATTTTTTGAATAATACTCAATAGTTTAAACTATTTGTTGTAGCAATTTTGCTACTAAAGTAAATAAACTGCAGTATATTTAATTTGTCCTTGACGTTAAATACATTAATGTTGATTCTTAAAAATGTTGACTGAAATTTAAATTTAATTGAAAATGCCACTTATCATGCCAAGTTGATACAAGTTAAGTTGCATTTTTACTACATTTTAATTACTTTGAGGATGAAATTGCTATGATACAAATAGTTTAGGACATCATGTGCTCTTCAAAAAATAACTCAGAAGCAAAAATGCACCTTAATTTAAATCCATTTCACATGATAGGTGCCATTTTCATTCAAATTTTAAGTCACACACTTAGTATTTTTAATGATTAATATTGGGATATTTAATGTTAGAAGCAAATATGTTACATTTTAATTATTTAAGAGTGAAATTGTTACAATAAATATTTAAGACACTGTATACCCTTTGAAGAATAATTAAGGAGCAAAAAAAGTACCAAAGAAAAACAAAAACAAAAAGAACAAAAAGAACGAAAACGTGTTTGCCGTGATCGCTCAAAATCTTGCAATATAACTAACCCTCTTTTTCCCCCTTCATGCAACTAATAACATGAAGATTTCTCCTTCGAATCAAGTCTATCAAAATTTATTTATTTATTTTGTTTGATTTTAAAAACGAACCCTTCCACCATTAAGATCTAGACTCGCTCTCCTTCCCGCGAAAGCCTCCCTCATCTCTTTCTCTCTCTTCTCTTCCCCCTCCCCCCCCCCCTCTCTCATAGTGATCACAATGCCATGAAGAAACCTCCAAACTGATGATCGATGTCGAGCAATTCGCTGCCGCCATCGCATCTCTCTAATACATCGCCGACGAACCCTACGGCTATGATTCCACTTCGAAGATATCATCGCCGGCATCCTCCAGAGCCAAGCTCCAGAAAAGTCCTCCGATTCCGAATCGGGGGACTGCGATAGAGGATGAAGGCGAGCAAAGGAACGAGGAGGCGGTACGTAAACTAGAACAGGAGCGAACCGAAGAAGCTAATCCTACGATTTTGCTTGCATCCTCTTTAGGGCTCAATCACATTCGGACTCGCTCGGCTTCTTCGCCTCTTCGGTTTCCGTCCTTGGCTGGCGCGTCTCCCAGTTCGAGCAAGGATTGCATCGGAACTGAGGATCGAATTGTAGTTTCAACGGATTTGGGTACAAGATTATTATAAACAAAAATAGTATTAGTCGTTATATATTTGGCATATCTTTGCTTTTCAACCTCACCGATGAAACGATTACTGATAACTGCATATTACTACTTGTGTGTGGTGATTTTTCTCCTCTTAGGAAAGAGAATATATGGAACTCAAAGTAAATTATCGAGAGCTCCTTCCATGCTGTTCCTCTCACGCAGGTGATAATACTGTCTTTATCAATTCGGAATTATTATTCAACAAAGTTGTTTCAACTCAATTATTTTCTAGCGAGTTAGAGATGTGTAGGTAGCTATCAGGTTTCTCACGTTGCATTTCAAATAGGGTAACGATGACATTTGCCAAAGAATTGCAGTCCCCGCGCGTTCAAGCAATACTGCGCGTCACAAGTGGACGCAAGAAGAAAACCTATCGATTTCAAAAGCTACTCTCATGAGCTCAACTCAAGAGGAGTCAAAGCTTTCCCAGTTTGGAAACATCGTGTATTCGGGCATATCGAGGTACTTTTGATTCCTGTATGAGGAGTTTTTGTTTCAGTTATTTATTCATTGACATGTTCTACTCTGGTAAAATGATATATTGAGAGTGTTATTGCATGAATTTGTACAAGACTTATATTTTTTTTTATTTCTATTTTTCGCATATATACTATACATAATCACTTTGTTTAACATGAACATTTCAGGAGGTTGAGGTTGCAATCAGAACTAAGTTTGGAAAGCTGAAGGAAGAAGTAGATTCTGACCTAATTGCTTTTGCCGGAGATTTGGTGGGACTACTGGAAAAAACTTTGGGGTCTCATCCTGAATGTAGAGAGAGCTTGGAGGATCTGTTAATTGTTGCCCAACAATGTGCAATGATGTCGCCCAGCGAGTTTTGGATGAACTGCGAAGCCATTGTTCAGAATTTAGATGACAGGCGTCAAGAGTTACCGATGGGGATTCTCAAGCAAGCTCATACACGCCTACTGTTTATCCTCACTCGATGCACACGTCTCGTGCAGTTCAACAAAGAGAATGGCTATGAACAAGATCCATTCTGGGTCTTCACCAACTCAGTGATCTTGGCATTTATAGAGAGCAAATTTTGCATGCTGTAGAACATAAATCCATTGGTGGAGGAAACGAGATGGCTGAGGAACAGCGAACCAAGTCTGCAGTTAAAGAACCAGACAGTCAGATAACTCAAATTCAAACTGATCGGAATGTGAATACTGCAACTGACACTTCCAGAAGTGGTGATTCAACTGGAAGCGGCTATAAGATTTCATCCTGGAAAAAGTTTCCTAGTCATATTGAGAAAAAGAGTGAATATAAAGGTCAGGATGCCGAAGATTTGCCGTCGAAGGAAGAACAGGATCAGGTTCATGTCAAAGAAAGAAAATGTCGAAAACGTGGATACTGATTCATCCAATCCTGAACAGTCAGAACTATCCTCCAGAGCTCAAAAGGTACACTGGGGATTCTGGGGAGATCCCCACAATCTAACATATGAGAACTCAATGATCTGCAGAATATGTGAGGTTGAAATACCAATTGTGTATGTGGAGGAGCACTCTCAAATATGCACTATTGCCGATAGATGTGATTTAAAAGGTCTTAACGTGAATGAACGGCTTGAAAGATTTGCCGAAACTATTGAAAAGATAATCGAATCATGGACACCAAGAAGCACACCTAAAAGCACCCCAAAAAGTACCCCAAAAAGTACCGACGGTCCTGGAGAAAGCTTTGAGAATGCGAGAGTATCTACTTCAAGTTTGCATGATGAGTTCAATGATTTATCTCTCGTGAGAAACAGCTTATCTCGTCGAGGCTCAGAAGACATGCTTGATTCTGTTCCCGAAGCTGACAATACTTTTATTAAGGATGATCTGAACCTTTTGCCAAAGTGTCATGTGAAAAATATTTCAAACACGATCAATGCTCAAAGATGTCTTCAGTCGGAAGCTTGACACCCAGATCACCATTATTAACCCCACGAACAAGTCAGATAGAAATGTTATTAAGTGGGCGAAGAACAATATTGGAACTAGAGAGTTATTTCCAGGTAAGCACTAAGTTTAATGCTTGGATTCCTTGATTGCGTGCTTGTCAGCCTTCGGAAAATGGAAACAGAATATACCCAAAAAATTAGATGACATAAAATCAAATATTCTGCGTCAAAAAATGTACTTGGATCAACAATCACTCATGTCTTTGTTTGTGATCTTTATCGCATTTCTTAATGTTAATGCTGGCTTTTATATATAATAAATTAAGAGTTACACAAAGATGACACTGAGAGTGATTGTTATTTATAAGATTAATATATATATATATATATATAATTAAAGTAAAGCTGGAACTGCAATTATTAGTTCTAAATAACATTGTTCATTTTTTTAAATATTAATATATTTTATTTTAAAAGAAAAATGATGAATGATGCAAGTAAAAATAGGTTTTATTTTACATTAAAACACTTCAACAAAATAAAATAAAAATAAAAAATGATCCAAATCTAAAGAACAGGAGAATATATTTCTTTTGTACATTTCATTTTTTTTAATAGCGTATGTATAGTTATTTCAAATCTAAAGGACAGGAGAATATATTTCTTTTCCCCCTCTCCTCGATTAAAATAGAAGAAAGACCTGTATAGAATTGGTAAATAAGGGAGGATAGGTCTTCCTTTCTCAGGAGAATAAAAGATTGAGAGAATTACAATCACATCCCATATAATAAAATTAATAACAATAATATTTATTAATAAATTAAACTATATTAACAATTAATTATATTGTTAATACAATTTAATTTAATTTATCAATAAATTTTATAGTAATTAATTTTTTTACATGAGATTTCGTGTAATTCTCCCAACATCTCAAACATTTGGTTAATAATTTCCTTTATAATGTCTTATTATTTTTATTTTTTGTAATTTTTCTTAGTTATTACTATCACATTGATAAATATACTGTCATGACAGATTAACAAACTAGTGGAAATTGCTCGTTCTGTTGCAAATGTGAATGACTACAGATCTTTGAACTATGTAAGTCGTCGCGTAGAAGAACTTAATCTCACCATTCAGGACAGAAAGGTCGATGCTCTCATTGTTGAAACTTTTGGGCGACGCATAGAGACTCTCTTGTCGTGAGTATATTTTAGTGTGCTCTTCTCTGTTCGTATCTTTTTCTCTGTCACATGCTCATTTTTAATTTCGAACAAGTGTCTTTCCACACCAATTTTTTGGGTATCCGATGATCAAGTCTTCAAACTTCCTGTTGTTGGTGGTGGTGGTCAATATTTGCTTCAACCCGGGCATGCCAACGCCCATCGTATCATCATCTCTACCACCTTATGACAAGATGGGAGAGTGTGAATGTGGCTTCCAAAATACCTAGAAGTAGTTGGCCAAAAAGTAAAAAAAAATTACTGCAAGAAAACTTACATTTGTGGTTATCAAAGGGGAAAAACCTTGTACATATGCTATCTATAATCTGTTAATATGCAACTCCCTTTACAGGGAAAAATATTTATCTCTTTGCGATCAACTAGACAACGAAAAGGTAGACTCATCGAATGGCTTGGTTGAAGAAGAGAGTTCAGTGGAAGATGATACTATTCGAAGCCTTCGTGCTAGCCCAATTCACCATTGTTCTAGGGATCGAACCTCCATCGAAGACTTCGAAATAATAAAACCAATAAGCCGAGGTGCATTCGGACGAGTTTTCCTAGCCAGGAAAAGAGCAACCGGAGATTTGTTTGCCATAAAGGTTGGAAATGGTTTCTTTCTTTTTTTTTTTTCGATCAAATGGAAATGGTTTCTTACTAAACAAAAATTGCTCTGAAGGTTTATTTCTTTGTCCGTATGTGTATTTCTTCATTCGGTGGGTAGATATGTCACGTCCGTTTTCGTATAGAGCACTGCAGCAAGTGTCATTTGCTTTCTGTGAAATTGAATATTTTGTTTGATTGTCCAAAAGGGTTTCCCCCCCCCCCCCCGGGGGGGGGGCGGGCGGACTAGAAAGGGGGTTCTTTTGAAACACTATAAATTTTAAATCTTGAAATATTTAGTTTTTATTTGTTTGTTTGTTCTTTGTAAAATGCCGTTGATGTTGGAAAAGTGCTTTCATATTTTTTTTATATAAGATTAATTTCTTCTTTTATGGGAGGGGCATGTTAGGTATTATACTAAAACTATTCGTCTTCTTTCATTTAATTGTTTGAGATGTTGATTTGAACTGGTCTTTTTCTTGCATATAACTCCATCTATGAGGTCCCGCACATTCCATTCTATACAGCTGCCAATTGTCTGCGTTGGTTCAAACACCTAAAATTGACAGCCAACGAAGAAGTCAGTGATACAATCAAGATACTTGGCAGTCTTCTTGACTGTAAATTACAAGCCAATTAGGAACCAATTGGACATTTTAAGGATTAAAGTATCTTACAACTTTACTGTCCCAAACCCAGAAGCGGTTAATTGGAACCATTAGCAAGTTTTACTGCTATTTTATTTGTAATTAAAAAAGAAGGTAAGGTGAGTTGAGTTCTAAGGACTTGTCAATTCTAAACCTTTATAATACGGAATAAAGTGATCAAGGGTAGAGACGAACTTGTCATATGGTCATTAACTCTAGATAGAGTCAACTGCTCAAGTTTCACTCCCTGGAGCCTGAGAACTTAATGTAATGGAGTATTATCTGACTGAACTGTGGTATCAACTTCAACATTTTCAGGCTGATTCTGGTTTACAAATAACTTCTGTAGAAGTGCCAACTGCTCCTTACTGAACATATATCCATGTGTATATTACTTTCTTTCACCTTGAAAATTGGATGGTCTTCTATACAACTTCTAGCTAACTAGCGTAACTAGTCCTGTGACAATGGTCACAACCAGAGATTTCCTCCCTTCTTCAGTTTGTGATCAGTGGTCTGTGTCCTTTTGCCCTCAAGACAGTCATTAAGAACAGTTGAGGTTCTAAAATCAATTTTTTCTTGCACTACTCCCTCATAATTGCTGGAAACACTTCTCAAATTGTTGGAAGTGGGTGTTATCCTGCATTCCTCCCCCTAATCTCCTCACAGTCAAGTTGAGTTCAAGGAGAATTTATATATTCTCTTCTGTTCGTGTTTTGCTTGTAGTAGGCAGCCTCTGACATACATGACCACTTATAAAGATCAACTTGTGGCCAATGTTTTGTGTGAGCATGTTATAGCACTGAATGACGTCCATCTCTCATTGTCTCAAATCATGCACAAGTCCTTCACTTCAAACAAGAAGGCTGAATTCTCTATTTAAGAATATGTTTCTCTAGCTACCTTCCATATTTCTTGGGCAGTCAAACAACAACAACAACAACAACAACAAGCCTTTATCCCACTAGGTGGGGTCGGCTACATGGATTGCAAGACGCCATTGTGCTCTATCATTTATTAAGCTTTTAGAAATATTATTAATTAAGAGATCACGTTCAACAACTTCCAAGAGTGTTCTCTTAGGCCTTCCTCTACCTCTCTTAATCGGACTCAAAGTTATATGTTCCACTCTTCTCACTGGTGCCTCCCTTGGTCTTCTTTGTACATGCCCAAACCATCTCAACCGATTTTCTACCATTTTTTCCTCAATAGCTGCCACCCTCACTTTTTCACGTATGTGCTCATTTCGAATTTTATCTTTACGTGTATGTCCGCACATCCATCGTAACATTCTCATCTCTGCTACTCCAACTTTATGCTCTTGCTGTCCCGTTAGAGCCCAGCATTCACTACTATATAACATTGCCGGTCTGATAGCAGTACGATAAAACTTTCCTTTAAGTTTATTAGGCACCTTACGGTCACAAATAACTCCTTTAGCTTTTCTCCAATTAAACCACCCAGCTTGAATTCTATGTGAAATATCTCCACTGATTTCGCCATCATTTTGGATAATGGCTCCCAAATATCTAAACTTTTCCACTTGAGGTATAATTTGATCTCCCAATATTATCTCCCAAATATTCTTGGGCAGTCAAACAAAGAAGAAAATTTTCTCAAATATTGTTTGTCATTAAATTGACCAACCAAGATATGAATATCTTGTTTTCAGCATCCCGAACCTTGTATTTCTACACAGAATATGATGAGGAGTACCCCCTTACCTTTTCCCTTCATGTACATCAGAATACTGGATGGTCACTTTGCCTAGTATTGAGAGAAGGAGAAGCCTTGAGGGTCCCTTGGACAAGAGGTATTGCAGTAGCCATGTCAAATGACGTGTTTTGCATACCCTGTTTGTCTACTTTCGTGGTAGAGAGATGGCCAAATCTGAGTGAGGGATGGTAAAAGCATATTCCAGCTTTGACACCATGTAGAAAAGATCAGATTGGGGTTTCTTTCTCATTCATGGCATTGTTCCGTAAGTTTTGAAATTCATACATAGGACCATAGTTTAACAAGTCAGCCATAAATATCATTCAATCAACAAATCAAAACAATTTGAATATTGATAAATATCATGAAATGCAAGAGAATAAAAAAAAGGAAATATACAATAAATTAAATAAATCTGAAGAAGGAAAGACAATAAACACGCCTGCATTTATAAGTAGGGCCACATGTTCACCGTGTAACATATGTATGTGGAGATGGAAAAAGAGAAGTTTGAGGGTTTGACTTGATTACTCTGCCTTCTGAACCATCTTATGATTTTGATTAAACACAGGCATGTGTTATTGTATTTGTCATCACACTCCACTTATTGGAGTACTTATCTATCTAATCCTTCGAGAACACAACATTGTTTATTTTGATTAAAATATATATGATAATGATGTCCGATTGAAGCCCTTTTTCATCCAGAATTGTTTGTTGATTATTGTTTCCTATTGTAAGTCTTGTTTCCAAAGTAATTAACAAGGTAATTAGAAAATAGTTAATATTTTCAATATTTTGTAGGTTCTGAAAAAGGCTGATATGATCCGCAAAAATGCAGTTGAAAGTATTTTGGCTGAGCGAGACATCCTTATATCAGTTCGAAATCCCTTTGTGGTGAGCAATGAGTAGGTCCTACAATTTCTTATCATATGATGACGTTTTACATATGGATATACTTATCTAATATATGTAATTCAATGATGAACAGGTTCGATTTTTCTACTCTTTCACTTGTAGGGAAAATCTTTATTTGGTTATGGAATTTTTAAATGGTGGAGACCTTTACTCTCTATTGAGAAATCTAGGTTGTTTAGATGAAGATATGGCACGTGTATATATTGCCGAAGTTGTAAGCGTCCTAATCTTTGTATTTTGTTAATCTTGCATTTATTTATCTGTATTTCAGTTCAGTTCTCACAATGACTTATTTTTCTTTCTATCTTTCATTCTTCCGTTTCTCTTTGATTTTCTAACAGGTGCTTGCATTGGAGTATTTACATTCCTTACATGTAATTCATAGAGACTTGAAGCCTGATAACTTGTTGATTGGCCAAGATGGTCACATCAAGGTCAGCATTATACAATTTAAATGCACTTGGAAGAAACATATCTTTTTTTCTTTTTGCGGCTATGTTTCTGTAGAACTGTTTGAAAATAAGAGGCCTTGATGATGCTTCTTGGATAGCCTCGTTTTCTTGGATTTCCAAATTAATTTTTGCAAATTTCATTCTTTTGGATATTACTATGATCATTGGGCCTCCAATGTCTTGTAAATAATCCCAGGAATGTTTGGAATTTTAGATGACTTAGCTGTCACTTTGATGACGACCTTGAATGTCATTTAGGATTTTGCTACCATCTCGTATGCCACCTAGACTCTATCAAGTAACAGTACAGCCCACAGACTGTCTCTTAATGAAACCCTTCGCTTTCATTGTTCATTAGCCTTCTTTCCAAATAATTGCGTTTAGTGAAGCTTCCTCAGCGGTTGTTTGTTAACTGACTGAAGAAGTGATTTTGTAACTTTCGAGGAAAAGTTACTCTCATGTTATTTTGCATAAAACAACATAACAGGAACCATCTGATTTCCAATAACATACTCGTCCCTGGCACACTTCTGGAAGTTGGCATCCTCTTCTTAGGGCTCTTGTATGTTCTATGGTTTGATCTCTTCTAAAATTCTATCTTATAGTTCATTTCCTACTATCATGAGGGTGCTTTGTATTTTGGTTGAACTTATTGACTGTGAGCGCTGGTTTCACGTGTGAAACTTCAAGAATAATATGCTGAGTGTGCGGAATTAAATTACAGATTTTCCACCCAATTTTTAATTGCTCTTTCTTTTACCATTGTTTCTTTTAAATTATCTGTTCTCACTTCTACTAATTATCATATATCTTAATTCAGCGCACCAATGTAAGTAAAAGCTGCTGCTTCTTATAAATTCTAATCCCTTTCATGACAGTTGACAGATTTTGGGCTCTCCAAGGTTGGTCTTATTCACAGCACGGATGACTTATCAACTTCATCATTTTCTACTGATGATCTTGTAGGAAATGATGAACCAAAAAAAGATCGTTCTTCAAAAGTCGAACAACGTCAAAAGCAGTCAGTTGTTGGCACCCCAGATTATTTGGCACCTGAAATACTTCTCGGCATGGGACATGGTTTGCTTTATCTTCTGATTAAGTAGTTCATCTATTTTAAATAAACATGTTTTAAATTAGTCATTTCAAATTTTTGCTTCTTTTGAATTTAATTTTATTTGATTTACATTCTTATTTATGGTATTCTTGCAGGTGCAACTGCAGATTGGTGGTCTGTGGGTATCATCCTTTATGAGCTCCTTGTGGGTATTCCACCATTTAATGCAGAACATCCGCACGTAGGTGTTTCTGATATAAAAGCCTGTCATATTATTACAAGTTTCAGGAAAAATATGGGAGATGATAGCATTCTTTTTATTTTATGTTATATTCAGTCTTCTTTTTATTTTATTTTTTATTCAATGGCATTTAAATACTTCTTTGCCTAACCTTAACTTTTTATCGTTAATTGCCTACGATTTTCCATTTTGCCCTAATAAAAATAAAAGTTTATTTTTATTTGTTATCCTATGATTTTCCCAAGGACCAAAACAATAAGTTACTATTGGTGCTTTTAATAGTTGAAACTCCTGCTTCCTAAAGTTACAGTCTCATCTTCCCCATGTCAAAAGAGTCTTTTCATCTTAAAATATCAACCAATCCAAAAACATCCTTGTAAATCGAGAAAATTGAGTTGTCACTTTATCAGGCATGAATAATAACTTTATGAAGCACGGATGATAACTTACTTTTATAATCATTGGGAGGGATTTTAATTTTTTAGGTTAGTATCTGTCAATATTATAAGTTATGGATCCTTAAGTATCATTTCCCCTTTGATAACTAGATACACCACTTTGAAGGAATAGTAAAAAAAACTTGGGCAACCAACCAGTTGAAAACTTTCTAATAAAGGAAAATTAAAAACTGAAAGGGAAAATTCTTGAAGACTATTCATGAACATGGGTTTACCTGGTTAAGATCCCTAAGCTAACCTGGTCTAGTATAATGCTTATGTGGCTATCAAACTGGTGAAGGAACCGTGTTTAACATCTAGGAAAGCTATAATGGAGCAAAATCGCAAATTCATGAATTATCTGCAGCTTTTTCTGGACCATGAATTGCCATTTCATCACCATAATGATTACATGAACGTTTTATTGTGCAAGATCAAAATTCAATATAATTCAATTCAATTGATCTCATTTTAGGACATAAAGGAACTAGATTGGTGGAAAATTTTATTGGGGAAGAAATTGAGAGGCTTACACTTAACACTTTGAAGAACCAAGATGATAATATTGTAATCTTTCAAAGGTGAAACGTTTTATTTACTCTTTTTTTTTTTAAGTAAATATTTTATTTTGTGTGTTACTCTTGTGGATAACGAACATTGAAGCATCACTCAAATGACAACCATATAGAAATAGGGACAGCTTATTTTTCTGGTCAGATATACTAAAGAGAACAGTAAAGCCAGGTCATAATGTCAACGATTGGATTGCCAAAAAAAAAAAAATAAATAAATTCAACCATTTAATAGGCTTCTGCATGTAGTTGTGCTAAGGTCTTCTTCCCCCCACCTAATGTCACTCGTCTTTTTATTGCCGTTTAATCAGAGTAATGATGATTATCCTTTGATGTTTTTTTTTTCATGATTTTTTCTGTTTGAAATCGTTGGATCTTAAAGTGATTTTAAAATTTTTCTAGTTCTATTATTTGAATACATGGATAGCTTAAAACTAATTCTCATGGATTCTGTACTGCAGCAAATTTTTGACAAAATAATTAACAGAGACATACAGTGGCCAAATGTACCTGAGGAGATGAGCTATGAAGCATGTGATTTGATTGACAAGTAAGTATTTGAGAATTAGAGAGGCACGTTTTTTTTATTGGATAAATGCATATGCTATATTACCAAAAAGGGGTATGCTATTTAATGGTAATTGTGATGGCAACTGGACAAAATATGTTATCCATTCCCAGTTTGGAAGTAATTGCTTTAAATATTGTATTGCTGAACCTTTAGGAAGAACATCAGCTAGCTGGTCTTTGGTGAGGGCATGGGGAGAACAAATTAGTCTACTATCTAAATGTTGAGTTATAGATAGCTGGTTTTACTGTATCTCCTTCTAGTAGTGCCTTTTCTCTGGATCTCATGGCTGTTCAAACTAGGTTACCTAAGTTCCATCTAGATCTTGAGATGGCCACATCAACGAGATTAGAGTGATCAGATCAGCAGAACTCTGAAGTGCAAGCTTTTTGCCACGCCATTGCTACAGTCTTCCTGCCATTCCACATGCAAATTTCTATATGGCCCGTTTCTCAGAGCTTCTAGAATTGTCATCCTTTGCAATCATATGTCCTATTTTTGCAGTTCATGCGCCTTTATTCTTCATTACTATATGTCATTTAGAGCTGCCTCCATCCATGCAGTGATGGAAAGCTCTGAAGCAATGGTTTTGCGTGAGGAGTGGTTTTCTACATCCATTGCACTGACTGGAGATGACTTAAATGAGTATATTCAGTACCAGCTAACAAAGGAGACACTAGTTGCTACATTGTTGCTCATACCAGCAAACCTACTACTTGCCTCACCTATTCTTTCCTTGAGCCATGGGTTCTTGATTCAAGTTCCTTTGATCACATTTTTGGTAACAATCACTTTGTCTCTCATATTTCACCTATGCTCCCCTTGTGGGACTTTAGTCGATGGTTCTGAAACTGTTAGTAGAGGATTTGCTCAATCCAAACTTTTTCCCTGTATAACTTTTGATATGTTCTTTATGTAACTGAATTGTGAATGCTCCACACCCCATTTCTGTCAACAACTTATGCCCTTGATTGTTGTATTACTATTATTGTTTGTTAATCAAGTGTTGGGATCCCTTGTATTTGACATGCTGTCCCTTCTAAATCCCGTGTCTTTTGCCTGGTCATTTCATCCCTTTAAGTCAATGGTTTATTTCCTATTATGTTATTGTAATCAGACCTTAAGTATCTCTTTTATCATGCCTTATTATTTTTTGTTCTTATTGTAATAAGACCTAGCAAAGCAGTGAGTGAAGTATGTTCTAAAGCATTTGAAGAGTTTTACGAAGGTCTAGAAACAAAAAATGGAAAACAAAAATTTATAAGAGTGCAAAAAGTAAGGAAAGAAAATCAAGAGATTTGGAATAAGTAAGGTGCATAAAGGATGAAGGAGAAAAAGTTTTAGTTACATATGGTAATATTAAAAATGGATGGGAGGTCTACTTTAACAAGCTTTTCAATAATGAAGGGGGCTCGTCTAGTGATTAGAAGGATTTAGTAACTCAAGAAGAAAAATGGAATTTGACATTTTATCAAAGGATTTGCGATAACAAGGTTAAGGAAGCTCTTAAGAACATGGATAATGGTATAGCCACTGGATCTAATAATATCCATATTGAAGTGTGGAAATGTTTTGGTGAAGGGAGAGTTTCATGGCTAACTAAGCTATTTAATGGGATCTTATGATCTAAGAAAATGCTCGATGAATAGAGGAGAAGAACCTTAGTTCCTACTACATGAATAAAAGGGACATGCATCAGATCAACTAACTTTGGTTCTTCTGGGGTCCTCGTACACACACACACACACACACGCATAGTTTCATCATATTTTAGAATTTGGAATCACATTGGAAGTTGACAAAATTTGGTTTTCTGGTTTCTGGCCTTCACTATGACTTCTATTGATGGCTATTCTCATTGCATTTGGCCATTTGATGAAAACTCTTCTGGGGTTTTATCTTATTTCAATCCTTTTCTGCTTAAAGCCAAAAACAATTTTGCATCTTTATATCTTTCTTATGTATTCACAATTTTAAGGAACAATTTTACTCCTTTCGAAAAAATTCGTTTTCACTGAAGATTCTTCATGTAATCACAACAAGATGAAGTTGCTGAGCATAAGAGTTTTCTTCTTATTTTTACTAGTACTTTGTCATAACGTAGCCCTCCATTTCTTTAAACTGATGCTGTACATATGTTTTAATTAATCATGTGCCTCATCTGTACTGCATAATCAAATTTCTTGTCCCCTTCTGTTTCCAAATAAGCCTCTTCATCATCTTCTTCCTTGTATTTTTGATTCGATCTGTTTTCCTCATAATCTAACCGTTGGTGACAATAAACTCGGTGCCAAGTCCACCTAATGTATCATCCTTGAGTATTCTTACCTTCAAAAATTTATCGTTGCATCTCTTTAGACACTATTCTACCTTACCTCTGCGAATATTTCATTCTTTGAGACTTCTTTTCGCTTTGCTTCTGGCAATGCTAATCATATATATGTCCGAAGTTCTCCCAATTCCCTACATTGCCTCTCCTAAAGTCACTCGTCTCCATTCCTTTCAGACTTATCACCATTGAACACGCTCTGATCCTCCTGCAAACTCTGCTGATGTACATGTTGACTCACCACCTATTCCAAGAACATCCCCTGCCTTTACCTAATAGTTCTCTCATTGCCATCTATCAAGGTATTTGCTTAACTTGTAAGTTATAACCCTATTATGCTGCTCTATTTCCTTCGATTATGTTTCTGTTCCCAACACTAAGTGCGAATCACTTTTTCATCTTGAAAATTCATTTCTTATTGGCATAAAATGGATTGCCTTGCTCAACAAATATATCACCACTAAAATACTTACCATATGGACTAAGAAAATCCCGATAAAATCCCTTTGAAACCAGTCCATGTATTTTCTGGTATACGATGGCTGTAATTGACCTGGAGTAGCAGCATTCCTAGGTTTACCTGCATAAGCAATAGGATGTCCTCTTCAAGAAAGAACAGCCCCTGTTGCCTCATTACAAGCATCTATCCCAATAGTGAATGGAATAGAAAAATCGGGCAGAGCTAACTGGTGTAGAAACCATGCCTTGTCTCAACTTTTCGAAGGAAACAACAGCTTCCTTACTCCATTCAATCTTCTAATATTTCCTTCATAACACTTTTAAGTGGTTTGCTCAAGCTTCTATAGTGTATTAGGAATCTTCTATAGTAGCCTTTTAAACCCAAAAAACCTTTTGATGATTTAATGGATTTTGGTACGGACTTGGATTTGGTGCTCATCATGCTCTTCCTTAAGTTGATATTTGAGCCCTCCAAATCTAATCTTGGCCAGACCACATCACTAGAAACCCGTACAGGCCTTCATGTGTGTAAAAATCCATCTTATGGACTCATTTGGTTTCCTTGAGACCTGATGATACCTTCCTATGATGTCTAGTTTAGAGAAAAAGCAAGTACCATGTAATTTATCTATCAAGTAATCTAGGACTGGAAATGGGAACTTAATACTTGATGATTTGATGATTAGCTTCCTGTAATTTACACAAAACCTCCAAGTTTCTACTTTCTTCTTATCCAACACGATCAGTGATTCAAAGACTTGCAGTATGTAGAGTACAACTGCCTGATCTGTGTAGTGTCTCCAGTCGTGCACCTCATATTGCCTTCCATTCAATTTAAAACTCATTACCTTATGCAAATCAATCATGAATCTTCTCGATGTAGCAAGCCATTAAATGCCTAAACCAGATCATATTCTCCCCATTGAAAAAAATAGTAGAAAATCATTTGAGGTGGTTTGGGCATGTACAAAGAAGGCCAATGCAGGCACTAGTGAGGAAAGTTGAGGCAGATGGTTTTTTTAGCCCTTTGAAGATAGGTAGAGGGAGACCAAGAAGCATATATAAGAAATTTATCTAATAGGATCTTTTAGTTAATAATATCTCTGAATAGTTAATTGTTGATAGAGCAACGATGTATGATCCATGTAGCTAACCCAACTTATTTGGATAAGGCATCTTCTTGTTGCATCCTCATTGAACTTGCTTCATGTTTACTGTAATCTGTGTCTAGTTGCTTTGTAGTAAAGCCATTCACCTTCATAGTGGATTACCCCTCTCCCCCATGTGTTGCTTTCAAATTTGTTGTACTGTGACAGCCAACAGTAAGGGTCATTGTGTCTGCTGGTGAAGACTTAAACACTATGACTTGTCTTGTAATATTGAGTATGACCACAAGTGTGTTTTTCAGATTACTCGCAGAAAATCCGGTCCAAAGATTGGGAGCAACAGGAGCTGGTGAGGTGTGTTCATTTCTGATTAGAATAATAAGTTATGTTTAGTGGCGGCAATTATCATCCATGACAATAGGACCAGCCTAACCCAACATTTTTATGACTCAATCTTATTCAGTCTATATTAACTGATAAATGGAGTGGCTAATTAATTATACAAATTTTCTAGTAGGGTTTTGGAGGGTCAACCCTTGGCTAACCAGTGACCCACTCCTCATTACCTCATTCTTTAATCACGCTATCTTTATGGCTATGAACTATAATATTATAATTTATATTTATAACCCACAAAATATGTAATTTCTTATAATAAAAAATTAAAACTAAAATACTTAAATCTAAAAGAATAAAAATGCATAGACATTTTGGGAATTTTCTTATAATATATCTCTCCTTTATTTTTCAAAACTTACTGAGGTTTTTTGAATACGGATGATAATTGATAAATTCGATAGACCCTTCTTGAGTTTTGCTAAAATAAATGCCTCTATTATATTTTGAAAACTTCCACAGTTCTCTCTTGAAAGAGCAGTTACATAAACTTCCCTTATGCTTTGTTGAAATTGCACAGACTTGTTCTGAGTTGTGGTTAAATTACTTAGATTTCGCTTTTATTTTTAGGGAGGTTTGTGTATGTTTTCAAAAACATAAAGGAGGTCTATGCAGTTACAACAAAAAATCAGAGGATGTTTATGTAACTTTTGTATGTTTCAGAGGAGATTAGTGTAAGTCTTAGAAAAAGAAGAGAGGTGTAATTTTAGCAAAATTTAGAAGAGGTTCTTTTTAGTTTTAAAAATAAAAAAGGTGGTTTACGTAATTTACTCAATATAAAACATTTTTATGAACAATATGTGTAAGTGGAGTCAGAACATAAAAGATGATTTTTATTTAGTTAATTGAATGATTCATACAACTTAAAAATAATGAGAAAGTAATTAAATTATAATGAAAGATTGCAATTAATGAACTAGATTTTTAATGGATAACAAACGGTTACATACATAGTAATTTAACTTTACCATACGAAAACCAAATCTAAACCCTGAAGCTGACAATCATATGGGTGCGTGCTTACTATTCTATTCTATTACTCAAAATGTAACAACTATTATTTTTGTTGCAGGTTAAAAGTCACCCTTTCTTTAAGGACATTAATTGGGATACCCTAGCAAGACAGAAGGTCATCATCACAATTTTAATTATTAGCGTATTCATGTGCTTATGCCAATATACGTATATATATAGGGAAAATTTTACTCAAGGATCCATATGAGTTGGTAATTTCCTAAAGAACTTCAAAATTACCACTGATGTTATCTAAAGTTAAAAATTTAAAGCATGCCTGTAATACCAAGAAGACCAACCTATAAATGTGGAAAGCACTAGCGGAAACATTGAAAACCATCAGTGGTAACTTCGATAGTTCAGAGGATTCTAATTTTTAAGGGCCCCTAGTCTAATTATTGTCTCAGGAGTCCGTCTGTAGAATTTACCCATATTATGAATTATGACTGCTAACATCTATCCCAATTGGCAACAGGCTGCGTTCATACCAGCAGCTGAAAATCATGACACAAGTTATTTCATGAGCCGCTACATTTGGAACCCAGAGGATGAACATCTTACTGGAGGTAGCGATTTTGATGACCTGACTGATTCTTGCTTCAGTGGTTCAGGCAGCGACTTTATAGATGAAGATGTAAGATTACGTTCTTTCTCATATAGCCTTAAAGTCTAAACAATTAGTTGTTGTTCTAGCTAGATCCCAAGTTCTTGGTACTTCTCTGTCAACATATGTTTACTCAATATACATGACATGGTTTGTTGATATTGTATTATGTTTCTTTTATCTGTAGATTGAGTATGAAAGTTGTGTCCCATTGCATGTTAAACTTAGGTTACATGAAATAGAATGGTTGGAGGGACCATTTCTTGTTATCCAAGTTTGAAGAATGTAAACTGAAGTATAACATTGGAGTTCACAATTTTGTTCACAAAGATCGTCATGCAGGGTGTTCATTTGATTCAATGACTTGAATGGTGCCGTTTGCCCAGCGAAGTTGGGCCAGTCTGGAATGAATTTTTTAAACAACCATTTAACTGGATGTTTGTTGTTGCAGCATCCTTTTCTGATTTTACAATATGCTTATGTTAACCAGGGGGATGAATGTGGTAGCTTAGCAGATTTTAGTGGACCACCTCCTGAAGTGCAGTACTCATTTAGTAATTTCTCTTTTAAGGTAAGACTTGCTTGACATTGGTGTTCTTTAAATCATTAGGGGTTATGATCTTGAGTTCACATGTACTTAATTTCAATTATTATGACTGTTTGCTTTATTATCTGAAAACAGACCCTCTTGTTCCTTTTCCTTTGCCCTGCACTTTACTCCTTTCAATTTTTCATTTTAAATTTGGTCTACTTGAAGGAAGGATCAGATGTTTGCATCCAAGATTTCTACCAACTATTTGCATGCTTCCACTGCTAAGCCACACATGAAAACTTAAATCTGTTATACTTAACATGTTGCTGCTGAAAATGCTATTCTTTGCAAGTCTTCACCTAATAATTTATACATTTATTAGGAGTGATTCTTTTTCTTAGGTTGACATGATATTCTGAGTGGATTGCATTGAGGAAATTCTTTTCTTTTTCTATGTTTTTTTTTAATATTTACAGAACTTGTCTCAGTTAGCATCTATCAATTATGATTTGGTGATCAAGAATGCCAAAGAATCATCCGATGATTCCAAACCATCTGCTTCGTGACAAATCTGGAGGGTGAAGTTCCACCTTATACAGCTTTGTGATTTTAGAAGGGACTTCAATCAGGTGATTCCTCAGAGAAAAAAGATAAAAATTTCTTTGAAATTGCAGTAGTCTGGAGTGCACACTGGTCTGGCTTATGTTAGAATAGTATCGTGTTGCTCCCTGAATATATGTGGGTCTCATTTCAAAGGCAATATGACTTGTGTGGCTCATGAATTTACATTTCTTGTTTACTGTCACACTTCACTTCAGTATAGGGATATTGAGAGTGAAACTGCGAGCAAATCTTTTCTTGCGCGCACACATACACACGCAAATTGGATGTTCTTCTCTTAGCAGCTTGGGGTTTAATTTCTTGTGGTGACACTTCGGAAGTAAAACATTACTATTAGGTCAATATAAATGATTGTATACATGTAGATCATTCAAAATAAAAATAAAAAATTGTTTTGAACTGTTCACTATATAAAAATAAAACATAGAATTCAGGTTTTTAAGTATTATGCAGTAATATATTATACTTTCCTGAGTTTAGTGACATTGCTATCAAATTTAACTTTTATCCTTTGTTTGAATGGGAAGAAGAATAGGGAGGAATAAAAATTAGGAGAGAAAACTCTTAAAAATAGTATTGAAATTTCTTTTAGTTTTCCCTTCTCTAGTTCTCTACATTTTCTTCTTACTTTTCCCTCAATTTTAACCAAGCCTTAGCATTTGAAAATGTTAGATAACTTGAAATTTAGTGACAAATATTATTGAAGGTCATTTGTCCCTTGTTCTATTGGGTGTGAATTTTTAAGGTGTTAGAAAATAATTATTAAGCATCTAAAATTTACTCTTAAGAATAGTTATTTAAATCAAAGACTTACAAATAATATTCTAAGACCAAGAGAAATTATTAACCAGGTTTTATATTATCCAAATCTCAATAATAAATTTTGAAATCAATTTATAACTTAATTAAGGAACCAAATTTTGAAAATTACTAGGTTTAGATAATTGTAAATGATATAGCTATTTATTTTTTTAACGAAAAAAATAAAGTTACATTTTAGTTTTATAGTAACGTTAAACTTGATTTAAATTAAACTTGTGGAATAATTTAATAAAATAATTGTTCTTCACAAATTTATATTTTTTATACATTGATCAAATGTTTCATATTCAAGTATCAATGACCTAAATAAATTATAGCCCAGTTTTTTCCTCATTCACAAATTTGAATTTTTAACCACATTTTTTAAAAAATATATTCGAATCCTCTTTTTAAGTAGAAGGGAAATTTTCAATTTCATTACTCAAAATAGATAAAATAACAGAGAGTGAAATGACATATCTCACCCAAATAGCTAAGATATGAAAGAATCCTGTGAAATAAGATAATTACTCTAAAACTTTTATAAACTTATCTAACATATTTTGAATTAAACGACAATTTGAATCATAAATTATAGATTTAAAAGTGATTTGAATCTGAAACTTATTTTTGATATATTTTAGACTCTAAATAGACAAATTTGTAACAATTTATACCACACGTTAAATGTAAGTAAACCCCATCCACTTCGTCTTCTCCAACGTCGTCCCTTCCTCTTGGTCCTTCGGCCAGACCTTTTCTTCTTACTCTCTGTTTTTCTAACAATTCCACACACTTCTGCAAACACACAGATACAGAAAATGGGGTATGAAGCCCCATTTTTATCTCTCCTATAATTATAACTTCACCTGGGGATAATCCAAGTTATTACAAAACCAGCCAACTTTCTTATGGCTGGCCAGTGAGCTTTGATAAATATATATGATCTATGTTTTTTTTTATGTTTTTAATATGATTCAATTAGTTGGGGGACAATGCAATGTCATTGAAAGTGTACGTACTGAGAATCAGAGAATGATATTAATCAAATAAATCGTTGAAAAATGATTAGATTTTGCCAAGGGGTTGGAATTTCAGATTATTTTTGTTACATTGGACTCTCCATCACCTTCCTTTAACCCCAACCGCAACCCCAAACCACACCACATGGCCCAACTACTTCATCTTCTCCATTTTTCTGCAACTCATCCCTCAGCTTTAATGGCCGAAGCTGAAGGTCACACCCAGCAAAACCCCACATGGCCGGAACTCGTAGGCAGCGATGACTGGGAAGGTCTTCTTCACCTTCTCGACCCTGACCTCCTCAACTTCATCCTCCGCTCCGACGACCTCATTCAGGCCACTGCACTTACGGCCCGCTCAACATGGGTTCATGAATCATGATAGCACAGGGGGGTTCGGTTTCCTGCTGGTGCACGTCCGAAATTTTTTATTTTTAATTTAACCTATATTTAATTTAAAGTGATCAATTTAATATTAAAATTTTCGTAATTATTATATATTAATTATTTAATGTATTTTGTATAGTTTAAATTTAATTTAATGTTAATTTAGACTATGTAAGATATATATATAAATAATCAATATATATTAATTATAATATTAAATTGAAATTTTTAAATTAAATATATGTCATATTAAAAATAAAAAATTAAAATAATTTTATAAATTTTTATTTCAATAAATATAATATATAATAAAATAAAAAGGCTTGATAATTGCCACATCAGCAGCACATTTGGGCCCACTAACAGACGTCTATTTCAAATTAACTGTAGGGTTCAGGTTGCTATCATCCTGTTTGTTAAGCTTCAAAATGTATAAAAAAAAAAAAAACGGAGAGAGAAAATTACATGCAGGTCTTACCTAAAAAATTTAATTACTATAAAATTTATTAATAATTAAATTAAGCTTTAAAATATTGTTTTTTTAATTCAATTGTTAATAGGTCTTATAGTAATTAATTTTTTTACATAAAATTTTAATATGATTCTGAAAAAAAAGTTTAAAATTCAAATTATTCTTGAATCTATAGTTTAGAATTTAAATTATTATTTCATTCAAATATTTTTTTTAAATTATACTTTTGACCTTATGGAAAAAATACGAAAAAATTAATTATTATTTACTATTCAATTTTAATCATTTTCTTATCTATTGCATTCACTAACCTATAAAACTTTACACTAGACTAATAAAAAAAAAGTTATAAAAAATTTGTTGTCATTTTGCCCTTCAATTTTAGTCAATAATCTAATAGAAGTAATTATCTTTCCATTTGAAACAAACTCATCCATTTAATTGATTAAAAGAAATTACAAAAAATTAGTTATCATTTAATACTCAATTTTAATGAATAACTTAATTAAAATAGTCATTTCCTCATTTAAATTTAAAGTATCAACTAACCTACAAGGGTCAATGAGTTCGTGACTACTTCATGTAAGGAAATAACAATTTTAATTATGCCATTGACTAAAAATGAGTAGTAAATAATAACTAATTTTCAGCAATTTTTTTTTTCTAAGCGCAAGAGTTTGTAGGTTAGTAACTATTTCATATGTGAAAATGAGTAGTGGCAAAATGGCTAAAATTGAATAGTAAATCACAATTAACATTTTTTTTATTATTTTATAAAGGGGTCGATTCAGGAAAAAAAAAAAAAAGGATACAAGTCACTGTAAACTTCAGAGCAATTATCTCATTTCCTTGTTTTTTTTCTTTTGTGATTTATTCACTTGGGTTCTCGCAGGAAAAAATAAATCAATAAAAGATACACAAATATATTTTTAAAAAAACGAAAAGCAAAAAAGCACTACGTTTTTCTTTTTTAAAGATAAAAAGAAAAAAATAAAAAGCACTATTTTTTTAAAAAAGAAAAAAAAACAAGAAAAACTGAAAATAAGAGACAGCTTGCGCCTTGCGGTGTCTCTGCCGACGAAGACGAGCAAGAGAACCCCACGTGACCTATTGACGATGCCACAACCATCGCCAACAGCCAACGAAACCGCCATTTGCTCCCTTCCCGCCGCTCTAGCTATACGCAGCACGGTACATGTTTAACGCAATGTCTCAATCAATGATCAATCTGTAATATATGTCGTATACTCTGAGAGCGAAGCTCACCGATACCTGCAAAAAATGTGGAGACGCGCGACTTCATTTTCTCCTTTGATCTCTTCATTCAAATCTTCCTTTTTCTCTCAGGTAATACATCTTTCGGTCTGCAAATATAGGTAGTTTATTGTTCGTTTATCATTCACTCTGTTTCGTGCCTTTGCTTTACAAGCAAAATGACTCACATCCCGCGTTGTACCATCCTTGAAATGCAGAATACCTATTTGGGGAAGGTGTTGAAATCAAGGAAATTTATATATATATATATATATATTTGAAGTAATCTCATGAGTCTGGTTTTGTTATGGTCCTAAAAGCTGAAAGGTTTATAAAATCTTGATTTCCTTAGGGCCGTTGTGAAGTTTTGCCAGAATTTTTGTATTGACAAAAGTTAGTCTCAGACTCTCATCACATCTGACTGATGTTTTGACGTTGATGTGCTTCGGACTTTTCTTTTGAATTTTGGCTTCAGGAAGCTTCTCAGATCAAGATATTGGAAATGTTTACTACAGGGATACCTTTGCAGGTACTATGCACTTCCTAATTTCCTACAGTTTGTGAACATCTACTTAAACATTGGCCTAATATGCTGATATCGCATGTAGTGGCAGGTCAATGTTTAATGCATACTTTTCTAGTAACTTAACTTTGAGCATGGAACTGTTGTGATTAAATTGAAGAGTTGCCCAAGGGCTTCTTGCATATGGTTGAAGCCATTTGCCTAACTTTAGATTAGAAACATATTTATGCTCGGACTGGAGATGGTCAACTCTATGGTGCTATTTATAGAATGATGGGGACCTTGTATATGATTCATGTTGGAACTTTCAGATTTCTGCCTCCCACTATTTTGTGGCCTGGATGACAATAAGGTGTTTAAACCAATAACTTATTTGTATAACTATGCCACCCTGATTTTTATTGCTATGCTGTGTTATCAGAAAATTTCCTGAAATATTAGAACTTCCTTTAAGTAGAACGTTGAACATATCAAAATTGATTTTTTTTTTTTGGTTGTTCAAAATTGAATATTTATTGCTTAGTACATTCATTAGTTGCTATGTACTAAAAGTTTGTTGTTCTATTTGAAACATAACTTATTCATTTGGACTGAATAAGTCCTGTATACTTAATTACTCACTTCTCACACTAATTTAAACAGGTATAATCAGGGAATTAGAAGATTTTTAATGCCATATTTTAAATATGATACTTCGATGATCTCCTTCCTTCACTGTTTCATTACTGCAGGAAAAAGGTGGTACTTGCCCCAATCGTAGAGCCCCCTTTATAACATTTGTTTTAGGTAACAATTTTGCTCTATTAAATAATTAATAAAGTGTCCATGTCACATGCAGTTTTATCAAGATTTGGATCATAGATTGCTTGAGCATATGACTATGGAAAATGTGCTTTGATAGAAGATATAGTATTCATGTGCTGACAATTACTGCTGAATATAATCATGTCTTATCTGCATATTAAAATTATAGAAACTCCAGCAAGGTTGATTGAAGCATTAGGCTGCTGTTTTAGAAATTTTGTAAATTAATCACTTTCCATTCAGTAATGGATGTGAGAATATAAAATCTAGTTACAACTGGATGAGTCTTTTGTCCAGGAAATTCATATGTTACTTATCAATTACCAGTCTTGAGTTACCTTAAAAAAGTTTACTCATTGTTTCATAAAAAGGATGAGCAGCCAATTGGAAAATTTAGAATAATGATTAATGGCCTTTTTTCTTGGGCATATTATCAATGTGGCAAGGAACTTCTTTGTTAAACTTTTAACCCCCATCTGATTATATGTTCATACAGAATGGTCTGAATGTTTAGTAGAAAATAACTCATGTTAGCTTAGGTGTGACTATGACAGCTTTCATGGTAGATTTAAATTGCATGAGAGGTTAAGGCTGATAGCTCAATGATCTTGGAAGATCTTGAAGCTGGAAAAACTGTACTTTGTTAACCAAAATGACAAAGAAGTGGAAAGAATTTAAAACTGTCTGATTTCACAGCATGGAACATTACATGCTTGATGATCATAGATAATGGAAATTTAGAGAAATACCATGTCAATTTATATAATTATTTTTCCCATAGTTCCAACAAATTTTCAATATATGATAGTTGCCTTAGAAAACAGTTTTCTTAGTGAGTGAGAAATGGGATGCAGGGGATGAACACATAATAAATCTTGGGGAGTGCTTTCTACGTGTCACTTATTAGCATTATGAACTCCTAGTATGTTTGAGTAGTTCTTTCTATCAATTCCACTGGTTTTTCTTTTTGAAACACTAATGCGTTTATAAAAATATTTAACATAAATTGAGTGACCCCAAGTTTTGTTTATCTTTTGGCCAAAAAAGGTTGCATATGTTAAAGATTGCTTTCAGAAACATTCAGACCGGGAGACTTATATTTTGCTTGCCTTCGTGCATGATAAAGTTTGTTCCTTTTGTTTTTAGGGGGGCCTGGTAGCGGAAAAGGCACTCAATGTGCAAAAATTGTTGATACCTTTGGATTAAAGCACCTAAGTGCTGGGGATCTCCTACGAAAGGAGATAGCTTCTGACAGTGAATATGGGTGATGTCATCTTATCATGTTTTGCTTTTTGTTTCTCCAGGGCACACTACAAGTTTCTAATAATGATAATTCAACGACAGTTCAATGATTCTTAACACAATTAGAGAAGGAAAAATTGTTCCCTCAAAGGTGACTGTCGAATTGCTTCGCAGAGAGATGGAATCAAGTGACAATTATAAATTTCTTATTGATGGTTTTCCAAGAAGTGAGGAGAACCGCAGAGCTTTTGAAGAAATTGTGAGTTTATCTCTTGATCTTGCACTTATGGATTTGTAGAAATTGACATCCTATCCTGAACCCACCTCTTGGTATTGCACGATATTTTATCATATGAAGTTACTTCATCTTGTGATCGTTCTTCTATATATGTATATATATATATTTGAGAATGAATTACTGCATATTATGTATATAACTGATGTGATTGATGACAATGTCGATGGACTCATGCATAAATATAATTTTCTTACCAGAAAATTCTTGAAACAGTATCAGAAGAATTTATTATTCCATTTTAATCATTTTTTGGCCAAACCATTTTAATCACTTTTTATGCTCAGGAAAATTATATAGTTCAAATTTGATAATTAATAATATAGATGTTGATATCTTATCCCAAGCTCTCGGTAAAATTACTGAAAAGATTGTGCTTCTATGTATGCATCTGATGAGGAATTACTGCATATTATCGTCCCAGAAATTTCTTGAAGCAATATTAGAAACATGAATAGTTCCGTTTTAATCATGTGTTTTGTTCTGGGAAATTAAGTATATAGTTCAATTTGCAGATGGAAGCTGAACCAGACATAGTATTGTTCTTTAATTGCCCTGAAGAGGAGATGGTGAAAAGGGTGTTAAGTCGTAATCAGGTTCCTATCCAATTATTTTGTTTTGAATTATAACAGATAATTGGAAATTTCTAATATCTGATATATCATGTTTTTATTCTTGTAGGGTCGAATTGATGACAACATAGATACAGTTAGAAAACGTCTTAAAGTATTTGAGGAATTAAATCTTCCAGTCATAAAGCACTATGCAAAAAGAGGGAAACTTCACAAGGTAATGCAGTTTTTACATATAATGTGATCTAGAATAATTTGTTCAGCTACCGTTTAAGGATCTATAATTTGTGTTCCTGGAACAACGCTGCACTAAGGTTCCTATGTTATTACTTTGAAGAAGAATATGATTCTCACAAGAAACAGTTATTTAGTTTTTATTTAAATAAGGATTAGAATTCATTTGTATGTACACTCAAAACAAAGTACTGCAGTGCAAAACCAAAAACTACTTTTAACTTCTGGTCAAATATTTTTATTTCTCTATCTCTAAAATATCCTAGCAAGGGGTATCTTGTGTTGGTATTCTATATCATTCAAGTTTATAAAAAATTGGTAATTATGGTGACACAAGTTAATTTCTTCAGATCAATGCAGTAGGAACGGTAGATGAGATATTTGAGCAAGTTCGGCTAGTTTTTGCTCCATATGAGGTATATGTTATTGCTGTTAATCTATAACATCACATATTTGATGTATGTTTAAGATGGTCCTTGTGCTTCCAATTGCCTCCTTCATGCATGAGTGGGCTGGAAGAGAGTTAAGGCAACTAAATACATTTTCCCAGGATTTTTATCTCCCCTGGTTTATATATATAAATGCATGATTGTGTGTCTGGTGAACTATGGAAGTCAAAAAGGTCATCAAAGAGGGTTCAGATGAAACTATACATCAACAAACCTTATCTCATTAGGTGGGGTCCATCTACATGCATGATGCCATTGGCATAAAATTCTCACTATACCTGCAGTCAACAAAGGGAACATGCTATTTTGCGGCTTTCATATATGATTTGACCAATATCATGAGTCAAACATGAATCCAGCAAGAAGATGAGCACACATTTTAGTTTGCTTACATCTATGTTGAATTCTGACTTGCCCATCTCTGCATAACATTAACCTTAGAGTCTTCAAAGTACCATGGAGGTCTGTATTACGGTTACACTAAGAGGTGAGACCTTCCACAATGAGCTTGGAATCACTTTCAAGAGTAATCTCTCTGAATCTTCTAGACTAACCATTTTAAGCCTTTCAATTGTTCCCCAACATTCTCCTTCAAGGACCAAGCAACCCCCCAATCTTAGAAAAGCCTCTGCATAAAGCTGTCTCTCAATAACTGCCATGTGCCAATACATAGGTAGTACGATTGGTTGATTATTTATTAATTTGATTGTTGATAGAGTACAATAGTATCATGCAATTCATGCGGCTAGTTCCACCTAGTGGGATAAGGCTTATTCTTGATGTATTGCTGTTTTGATAGTGTTGATAATTACTTGCATTATACTCTGCAGCGGAGGCTAAAGGAAAACTGACTGAGTTGAGAGCACTTAAAAAATAAAAAATAACGAAGGCAGGGAAAAGTTCTTGTTGAGAACTCAGTGTGCTTCTTGGATGTTGTTGATCTGCTGAATGCCATTCCCAGCCAAAATATCTCTCTGGGAATTTGGTAGGTTACCACAACTTATGCCAATGAGTCTGTACACCAAAAACATTACAATGGCATATGCATTATTGAATGCAAAGAATGATGGTTCTTTTCCCGTGTACTGTTCATAGAGCTCGTCAGCTTTGATACCACATGTCACTTGGGAAATTACATGCAGGTGTGACTGAACTATCTGTAACAAGTAAGAAACTAAGCAAATAAAATGGCAGAGTTGAGTTTTTTCCCCTGTAGCATGAAACTATAGTAATTGTCAGAAGTTTTGTAATTTTGTTTCTCAGAACTATCTTAAGATATTGGACCGCATTTTGGCACTCTGACTTTGGGCCCATTTGGATTAACAACATAAATAGGTCCTTACCCAAAAAAAAAGAAAGAAAGAAAGAAAGAAACTGGGTTGATAAGTATCTTTTGGAGTAATCATGTTTCCATAAGTTGTTAAAAAGATTATTAAATTTTTTGCATTCCAAGTTAGCTGCTATGTCACTTTATTGACTTGACATTTCTCTTAGCAAGATGACAGAAAGAGCAATATAGTTCAAGTTAATGGTAAACTTCGAAATGCTGAGTGTTATATCCTCAAAGTTCAAGGATTTTATATATTATCATTCATGATAATAGATGTAATGACATGTGATAATGTTTTTATATATTCTTAAAATGAATATATTAATTTTTTAAATGTTGCATAACTAAATATATTTTTTCATTATATCAGAAGGAATTGAATTCTTGATCTTTTGATCTTTTCTTTTTTATTTTTATTTTTTATAAACTTGATCTTTCGATCTGCACCCCAATACCGTCCCACACCTAACCCGTGTATAATTCTTAATATACTCATTTCCAATAAATTTGCAAATGCATTTAAAATTTAAAAATGTTCAAAGAATTGATAATAAAACTTATAGAGTGAGGGGTTACTTAAAAAACCAGTTGTTTTAATTTGGTGGAAAAATTACGTTAAGTGTGTAAGGATAAGTATTTTATTTCGCTTTATTTTTTTGGTAAACATCTTATTGTGTGCTTTATTATAACGTAATGTTTTCTCAAATTATAAAATTATTTTTTGAATATTAATTACAAACATTTAAAGAAACTTAAATCAACTATATATACCAATTTTTAAAAATACTCACCCCGTAGCATTAAAACTAGCCATTTTCGCCCTTTTATTTTATATATGGTAGACATTGAGATGAATTGTAATGTTTATAATTTATTAATAGTATTATTTACTGTAAATTTCATATTTTATATTAATGATTCTCATCAATATTTTTAATATAAAAATTTAATTTATGACAAATTACGTTGTCGTGAATAGTACTCTACCAGCTAACATTTAAATTCAATGCAATATAATTACTTTCTCATCAAAATTTTATTAATTGAAGATTTTTTATTATGCCTCTATTTTCTCCTCCATATATTGAAGATATTTTATTATACTTTTATCTTTCTCCTACATTTTGGTTATGTCTTAATTTGAAGAGTTTTAACGTGTTTTGTTATTAACTTTTATATTTCTTTTTAGTTTCAACTTCTTTAAGTTTTATCTATCCGCAGTTCTTATATTTTTAAATATGAGCATAAAGATTTGCAGTGGTTAACAGGGACGAACCTACTGGGTAGCCAGGGGGGCAAATGCCCCCGCAAGAAAAGAAAAAAAATTGTATGAAATGACCCAAAAAATTTCTTTGCCCCCTAGAAAAAATTTCAATTGCCCCCTTTTTAAGGAAAAAAAAATTATTTGCTTCTTTGAAAATTTCACTTATCTCCCTAAAAATTTATTTAACTCAAATCTAACTTATATATTATAATTTCAGATAGTGATATAGTTTGAGAATGTAGGAATAACAATTAAAAAATAATTTTTTATTTATTTAAATAAAAAAATTTATTCCGAAAATTCCTCTACTACACAAAGTGTTTAAATTTTATTTATATTAGATAGTTTTATTTAATACACCATTATAATTTATGTTTTATGTTTTATTCTCTAATAATTATTTAAAAAATTTTCTCTAATTTAATTTAATTTAATAAATACTTAAAATTATTTATCTTAAGTAAAATTTTCATCCCCACTCCTTAATTTATCTGGGTCTGTCATTGGTGGTTAACATGTACATAAATACCATTCTTCTACTCACTCGTTAAAATTATGATAAGTTGTATAAAAATTTAGTAGAAAAAGACACACGATATTAAATTAAAATTCTTAAATATACAATGGATAATTGTTTTATTTCGCAAAGATATCCATTCTATAACTTCGAAGCAAGTTTGATCACTAAATACATTGGTATGCAGAAAGGCCAGTACCTTAAATAGCCTATTTATTTATATTCGTAAGTGGATAGATATTCTCCAATAAAATGATGGCCACGCAGCCGAACCACCTTCTCTCTCCTATTCGTCCAATCCTCTGCTCTTCGAAGGCCAAGAGACAACGAAAACGATGGCGAATCCAAGAGAACAAAAGCACGCTTTCTTTCCCAAAACCCAGACCCACCCCACTTCTCATCAATCACGAACCTTACACCCAAACGAAATCTCAAGCACTAGAAGAAGTTTTGAGGGACCTTGAATCATCTGTAGAGAAAGGCATAAAGATCGATGTTGAAATCTACGCTTCTTTGCTTGAAACTTGCTATCATTTGCAAGCCATTGATCATGGAATACGGGTTCACCGCCTCATTCCCAGTTGGCTTTTGCGTAGAAACGTCGGTATCTCATCGAAGCTGCTTAGGCTGTATGCTTCATATGGGTATATGGAGGAAGCACACGATGTGTTTGATCAAATGTCTAAGAGAAATGAATCTGCATTTCCTTGGAACTCACTTATCTCGGGATATGCTGAAGTGGGTCTTTACGATGATGCCATGGCACTCTATTTTCAGATGGTAGAAGAGGATGTTCAACCTGACTTGTTCACATTTCCTCGAGTTCTTAAAGCTTGTGGGGGAATTGGGTCTATTCAAGTGGGTGAGGAAGTGCATAGGCATGTGGTTCGTTTTGGACTTTTAAATGATAGGTTTGTGCTAAATGCATTAGTTGATATGTATGCTAAGTGTGGTGACATCGTGAAGGCTAGAAAGATTTTTGAAAAGATGCCTCATAGAGATTCTGTATCATGGAACTCAATGCTCACAGCTTATATACATCACGGCTTAGAGGTTGAGGCCATCAACACATTCAAGCAGATACTTTTAGAAGGATATGGGCCTGATTCAGTAGCTATATCAACAATTCTTACTGGTGTGCTATCACTGGATGTTGGGGTTCAAGTTCATGGATGGGTGATTCGGCAAGGAATCGAATGGAACTTGTCAGTTGCTAATTCATTGATCATAATGTACTCAAATCATGGCAAGTTGAATCGAGCTCGTTGGATATTTGATCAAATGCCTGAAAGGGACGTTGTTTCATGGAATTCTATAATATCAGCTCATTGCAAACACAAAGAAGCTCTTGAATATTTTTTGCATATGGAGGAAACTGGTGCAAGACCTGATAAAATAACATTTGTTTCAGTATTGTCTGCTTGTTCCCATTTAAGTTTAGTGAAGGAAGGAGAGAGGCTATTTTCTTCGATGAGTGAAAAATATAGAATAAAACCAATAATGGAACATTATAGTTGTATGGTTAACCTCTATGGAAGAGCAGGGCTAATTGAAGAGGCTTATAGCTTCATAGTTGACAGAATAGAGTTGGAGGCTGGTCCAACCGTTTGGGGAGCTTTGTTGTATGCCTGTTCTGTTCATGGAAATGTAACTATTGGAGAGATTGCTGCTAACAGGCTCTTTGATTTGGAGCCAGATAATGAGCATAATTTTGAGCTTCTTATGAAGATCTATGAAAATGCAGGTAGATCAGAGGACTTGGAGAGAATAAGAACGATGATGATTGACAGAGGATTGGATCATTAAACTGTTTACATTACCAGAGATCACAAGTCTACGAATCGTACTTGAGATTTTGTTTTGGAGAGAAGTTGGGTACAATACAATTTTTAGTGTTTATTCTCAGTTTCTTCAATAGGATTATGAATAAGTTGTTTAAAATGTTCACGTGTTATTATGTTTTACTTTCAAGCCTTATCCCTGGAGAGTTTCATCAAAGTGCTGTTCTTTTGTATTTTCTGACGATTCGATGTTGACATTGTAGATAGAAATTATCATGTCCTCTACTTTGTGATTTTGCAGAACCAGATGTATCTTCACATGTAACTGCTATGTTTTGCATTCTGGCATTTGTTATAAACTTATAATGACAAAAGAAAGTTGTCATTCTTACCTGGTCTGTCCATTATAAACTTAAAATGACAAAAGAAAGTTGTCATTCTTATCTGGTCTGCCCATTATACCCTTCTTGAATGCATATGCAATTTCTGATTTCCTCTTTCAGCAAACAACAACAACAACAACAACAAGCCTTTATCCACTAGGTGGGGTCGGCTACATGGATTGCAAGACGCCATTGTGTTCTATCATTTATCAAGCTTTTAGGAATATTATTAATTAAGAGATCGCATTCAACAACTTCCAAGAGTGTTCTCTTAGGCCTTCCTTTACATCTCTTAATCGGACTCAAAGTTATATGTTCTACTCTTCTCACTGGTGCCTCCCTTGGTCTTCTTTGTACATGCCCAAACCATCTTAACCGATTTTCTACCATTTTTTCCTCAATAGGTGCCACCCTCACTTTTTCGCGTATGTGCTCATTTCGAATTTTATCTTTACGTGTATGTCCGCACATCCATCATAACATTCTCATCTCTGCTACTCCAACTTTATGCTCTTGTTGTCCCGTTAGAGCCCAACATTCACTACTATATAACATTGCCGGTCTGATAGCAGTGCGATAAAACTTTCCTTTAAGTTTATTAGGCGCCTTACGGTCACAAATAACTCCTTTAGCTTTTCTCCAATTAAACCACCCAGCTTGAATTCTATGTGAAATATCTCCACTGATTTCGTCATCATTTTGAATAATGGCTCCCAAATATCTAAACTTTTCCACTTGAGGTATAATTTGATCTCCCAATTTCACTTCCAAATTATTTCCGAATAGTCCTTTACCAAATTTACAATATAAATATTCCGTCTTACTTTTACTCAGACGAAAACCTTTCGACTCCAATGTCCTCCTCCATAACTCAAGTTTGCAATTAACCTCTTCTCTTGTCTCTGCTATAAGAACTATATCATCCGCGAAGAGCATACATTTCGGGATTTCCTCTTGAATATGTTCCGTCAAAACATTTAAAATCAAGTTGAACAAATAAGGACTCAGAGATGATCCCTGATGTAGTCCAATCTTTATAGGAAAATCCTTTGTTTGACCACTAGACGTTCTTATACTAGTTTTTACCCCCTCATACATATCTTGTATGGCTTTAATATAAGCAATCAGTACTCCCTTTTTTTCCAACGCTTTCCAAAGCACTTCTCTTGGTATACGGTCATAAGCTTTTTCCAAATCAATAAAAACCATGTGTAGATCTTTATCTTTACAACGATACTTTTCCATTAATCCCCTTAGTAGATAAATCGCCTCTGTAGTTGATCTACCTGGCATAAAACCAAATTGATTCTCAGAAATACTTGTCTCCAATCTCAACCTGTGCTCAATTACTTTCTCCCACAATTTCATTGTGTGGCTCATGAGTTTAATCCCTCTATAGTTAGTACAATTCTGAATATCTCCTTTATTTTTATAAATAGGAATTAATGTACTTTTCCTCCACTCATCAGGCATTTTCTTGGACCGTAAAATTACATTAAATAACTTAGTTAACCATCTCACCCCTTCTTCACCTAAACATTTCCACGCTTCGATAGATATACAATCAGGTCCGTTGGCTCTACCATTTGCCATTTTCTTAAGAGCTTCCTTTACCTCCTTATCACGTATTATTCGATAGAATGACAAATTTTGTTCTCCTTTACCAGTTACTAAATCCTCCAAGTTACTAGATGAATCCTCTCCATCATTGAAAAGTTTAGAAAAATAAGTCTCCCATCTATTTTTAATTTCATCATCTGTAACTAAAATTCTTCCCTCTTCATCCTTAATACACCTTACCTATTCTAGATCTCTTGATTTTCTTTCCCTACTCTTGGCAATCTTATAAATATTTTGCTCTCCTTCCTTCGTCTCAAGATTCTTATAAAATTCTTCAAAAGCTTTAGAACAAGCTTCACCCACAGCTCTCTTAGTTTCCTTCTTAGCCATACGGTACCTTTCCCAATTTTCCTCATTGTTACACAAATGTATGGCTTTAAAACAGTTCTTCTTATACTTGATTTTGTCTTGTACACTATTATTCCACCACCAAGACTCCTTATCTCTCGGACCAGAACCTTTTGATTCTCCCAAAACTACTTTTGCAATCTCCCGTATCTTTTTCGCCATATCCTCCCATATGATGTTAGCACTTCCCTGAGAATCCTAAATTCCTTTATCCAAAAGATTTCGCTTGAAAATATCTTGCTTCTCACCTTTTAATTGCCACCACCTAATCCTTGGTGTTACTACTTGTCGACGTTTTTGGATTTTACTCATAATACACACATCAAGGACTAGGACCCTATGTTGTGTCGTTACAGCATCTCCAGGGATCACCTTACAATTTTTACAAAGTTTTCTATCTGTGTTCCTAACCAAAAGAAAATCAATCTGTGACCTTGAGGCTCCACTTTTGTAAGTGATGAGATGCTCATCTCTCTTCTTGAAACAAGTGTTGGCAATCTTAAAATCATACGCCAATGAGAAATCAAGAAGAGTTTGTCCTTCATTGTTTAGCTCTCCAAAACCAAAACCACCATGCACCCTCGCATACTGACTAGCTTCCCTCCCGACATGCCCATTAAAGTCTCCTCCAATAAAAATCTTTTCACTCTGTGGTATGTGTTGAATCAACCCCTCCAGATCCTCCCAAAATAATTCCTTAAGACTGGCTTCTGTCCCGACTTGCGGCGCATAAGCGCTAACAATATTAACAGTCTCACGTCCAATTATCATTTTTAAAGAAATAATTCTGTCTCCAATTCTGCTAACTTCTACAACGTTCTTCTTCCACTCCTTATCTATAATGATGCCTACTTCATTGCGTGCACTTACTTTTCCTGTATACCAAAGTTTGAAACCTTGAATATCCTTAGTTTCTTCTTCACGCCATTTTGTTTCTTGCAAGCAAAGGATATTGATTTTCCTTTGAATCATAACCCCTGCAACCTCTTTCAGCAAACATGTTATCATTTTTTGGGGTTTGAAACAAGAAGATAATGGTTTGCTTAAACCCAGAAATAAGCTAATGTGTCTGTTAATTGATTATTTGATTGATTAAATAATTGATAAAACTTGAAGCAGTTTCCAAGTAATAGTATGAATTTGATAAAAATGAGTCCAGAGGAAAATTATGGTTTTTGACCCATTGATATATTAAAGCACGGGTATTTTTCTCACAAACAGTAAACGGTTCAGTTGGTTTTGATTTCTAAATGTTGAGGTTGAAATTCAAATAGAGCCTGCCTATGGGTGGTGATCTTTAATTAATATTTCCACCTTTTTTTTTTTTTTGCCCTTATCAGTTTCTTTCCACTGGAAGCAGCGAGATTATCATCTCTATTTCCATTTTACTCAGTTTATGAGAAGAATGTGTTTTTTTATCCATAAATATGTCAGTTGTTTCTGGGTTCCATTAGTGTCCAAAGTAACATTTGATATGTGCGGTAAAGGAAGTGGGATAGGGAGAATGATAGTTTGGTCTTAAAAGAATAAATTAATGACAATTATATCCCCTATAAATTTTTTTACAAAATAAATTACAAATATCAATTCAAACAGCTACAAATAAAAATTTTTGTTACTCTTTCCATTAAAAAATGTAAGGTATTTTTAATTAAATATCATTTCTCAATAAAGTAATTATATACTTTCAAACTAATTCTATTTTTTTATATTTATTTCTATTAAATACCCTGCAATAAATATAAAATTACTATCAATAGGGGTACTTTTAAAAAAACAAGGCAATGATTATATTTCGAATGACTAAAAAAATCTTATATTTTTAAACATCCAACTCTTCAAAAAATGCCTTACTTTTTTTAACGGAGCGAATATAATCTAAGAGTTATATTTGATATTTAAATATTTATTAGCAATTGAAATTCTTAGGTTTGTAATAATCTAGATTGATATTTTTAATTTATTTTTTAAAAAAATTTATCGAGAACTTAACTATCATTAATTCAGTGTTTTGGACCTAAATCGTTATTCTCCCAATGGGATACTTATTTAAGGAAGACCCCAAAAAAAGGAGGAAAAAGACCCAAATGCCCCCATAAAAACTATAAAAGACTCAAATATGATTCATAATCCTGCCGCTTATTTGATCAAACCATCCTGTGTGTGACATGTGTCAATGTTTTGTCTGTTACTCAATTGGATTTCTCATTAGCCCTACACATGTTACACCCATTTTGCAGCTTACCATCTCCATTAATCATTGTCTTCTTCATCCTTCTGGATCCATCTTGTTGCTTCATTGAGAAAGCTATACAATAACCTCTCAGATTTGGTCTCCCAAAATTCATTTCCTTCATATATAATTTGCTCTTCCGCAGACCATGAACTTGATTCCCTCAAATTCTTTTTCATAGAAGTAGAGTATTTGCACGGAATTTGAGATGAGTCATACTATTTATGACTTGTAAACAATGTATTTATTTCTTATTCTTGTTATATTTTGTATTTATGACTTGGGAATTAATTATGAGGTGAATGCAGTTGCTAGAGTTAGCATTTTGGAATTATATTTTATTTATTCCTTTTGCTTTTGTGGTATCTAAAAACCCATAATCTGAAATAGGTTTTGCGATTCTGTTAAGTGTTAATGGAGATTCTCTTCACCACTGGGAATTTATTATCTATTCATACGCTTCCTTGTTCTTCATTCTTCAACAGCATGTTGGGTAAATTTGGAATTTTGGCTTCCATTCCTTCAGTGACTATCCCATAGATAGAGTTTGAGATAGAATGATGTTCACGTATGGAATTTCCTTCAGAAATGGGAGAAGAAAAGCAATTCCAGCATGCCAAACAAAATTTTTTGTGGGAATCAATTATTGGATTCCTTTTTCCATTGCCAGCCATTACATTAAACCAAACATAATGCATTATTCTACAACTTACAAATGCAGTAGAGTCAATATTAATGCAAAGGATTGTGCTGTATTCCAAACAGCGTTATTAGTACCTAGTTACCCCAAATTGTCCAATTT